CATCTTTTTTATATCGTGGTGATTAAAACATATTTTGTTTGAATAGCAGCTTCATACACCTTTGATTTGAGCCAAGAGAGTCTGCTAATTTTGCCTAAGGGAAGAGTATATATTATGTATGTCTGTGTGTGTGTGTGTGTGTGTGTGTGTATGTGTGTATGTGTCTGTATATCTATCTATCTATCTATCTATCTCTATCATAAAGACATAATTATTTGTTCCTTTACTATATTTATTACAATCATTTGTTTAAGAAAAGTCATGTAAAATCTCTCTACATTTTAAAATTTTGTCGTGTCTCTAAAAGGTTCAGCTTAAACATTGCATTCATTTCATGCACATTCATTTTCTAAGAAATAAATATTATAATTCAGATGTTAACTCCAGACTGCAGCGAAGCCATGGAAACTATCTTGCTGAATTCTATGTAGCCTGGAAAAAGGAGATGATAAAAGAATCTGCCCTGCCTTGTTTGGCTAGAGTACATTGAAAGACTATTCATCCTGAGACAGCAACAACAAGAAGCATCTTGTTTTCAATGATTCAGATTCCATTAAAAAAATAACCCTTCCATTTTGTGGAATGGCCTTGGCATCTGAGTATCTTGCTGAAAAGTAAAAGTCTAAATCTGTTTCTGGAATCTGAAAAGCAAATCAAGTGTGTATGTGCATAAAAGTCTGTACATTTTTGCCCAATAGCGTTAGGACATTTGTTCCATCTCAAAAATTAAAATGAACCATGAAGCATCGCATTGTGAGATACACAGACAGACGGACATTCCTATAGGATGGCTAGAGAGCTAGCTGATTAAATATTGCAATATTATTAGATTAAAATGCCAGAATGTCCCTAGTGAATTCAGCCAATTTGAAAATTGGCATAACTAAACCTTCTCTACCACAGATCAGTCTTTTAAAATTTAATTATCATAATTTCTTCATTGGAAGAAATGAAGTTTCTTCTAATATCGCTTAGCTGTCTGTGCTGTATTTCAAATGACAAGAATCATTAGCATAAGTGTAGTTACCTATCTTCTTATGTCTTAAAACTTAATAAGTAGTGATGCGTACATATATTTTAATGCATTTTTTCAAACAATTTCCTTCATTAAAATTACTGTTTAATATATCATAGCTTTTTATTCAGGTACTGAAACTCAAGTGATTTTAGTTTTTGAGCTGATCCACCGAGACCCTTCTGTTTCAGAAAATGTCCTACATGCATTACAAACTAACCACCTTCAAGACATAATTACCTTTTTTTGTTAGCAAGCTTCAATAACTCCCTGGGATATATTTTCTTACTGCATTAGCAGTCTTGTGAATAAATAACACAATGTCTTTTATATAGAAATTTTTGCTTTGTTTTAATACCAAAGCATAATTTAAAAAATGTTATACTGAGATATTTGTGGGAGATTACCTTGGTCAATTTATTCCATCCCAGAGCCAAGGAGAACAACTTAAGTGTTCAATAGCTCCGAGAACCATGATGGTGAACCTATGATACGCATCCCGGAAGTGGCATGCAGAGCCATCTCTCTGGGCATACCAGCTGGCACCCGTTGCTCTTCCGGGTTCCGGTGTGCGCTGGCCAGCTGCTCTTCACACATGCATGTGCGCCAGAAACTGGAAGACCAGGTGACAGGCATGCATGCACGTGCCAGAAACCAGAAGCTCAGTTTTCCGGCGCGCACATGCACACTGGGGAACTGCTTTTCCGGTTCTGGCACATGCACACTGGGGAACTGCTTTTCCGGTTCTGGCACATGTGCTCTGGGGAACTGCTTTTCCGGTGCTCCCCCATGCACACGCTCCCATTTTCGCACCCGTTGCCAAAAATGTTCAACACTGTCCTAGAACATAATCAGGACAGGAATTATCCGTGTCTCTGAAGAGATGTTATTCCAGAGATCAGACATTGCAACAGAGAAGACATGGTTCCTGAAGCATCATCAGAACACCTTCATTTTGCCACACTATTTACTGTCTTTGTTCCAGGTGGGACACAAGATTGTTAACCTGCAGGTTACTTAACGAACCACCTATCTACCACAACATCTGCCTGCCTAATTTGATCCTGCAGGTGAGGTGCTCAGGTTCCTTCAATTAAAACCAAGTCACGTATTGGGGCTCTGGAAAGGCACCTTCTCTGTAGCAGCACCAATCTTCTAGATAGAAGGAGATCCTCCCATCCCAGAGATATGAGTGGCCCCCAATGTGCTGTTATTTAGATGAGTACTTAGCCCCTATCAAGGCCTTTGGTGAGGAAAAGTGAAACTCCCACTTCATTGTCTTTGACATCTTTTATTTATTCCACTGGAATGTCTTTGTTGATTGTTGTGTGCTGTCTAGTCATCAAGAGTCATGTGGCATAAGAATAGAATAGAATTGCATTGAATTGAACTGGATTGAATTGAATTCTTTATTGGCCAAGTGTGAATTTGTCTTTGGTGCATATGCTCTCAATTTATATTAAAAAAATCATCAAGAATCATAAGATACAACACTTAGCGATAGTCATAGGTTACTAATAATCAATCAAATCATACTAGGAAACAAACAGGACAATATAAATTATAAAAATACAAGCAATAGGGTTATAGTCATAAGTGGGAGGAGATAGGTAATAAGGATGAGAAGAATAATAGTAATGCAGTCTTAGTAAATACTTTGACAGTGTTGTGGGAATTAGTTGTTTAGCAGAGTGATGACATTGGGGGGAAGGGGGGTGTTAATCATTAAATTAACAATCAAATTTAGTTAATCATTCTCTCTAGATTTAAAAGGCTTTCACATCTGCAGCCATTCTGTCTTGCTAGTGAGCAGCCTACACCTTTGTCCCAATGCAGATCTTAGTCACTTCTTTGGCCTGGGGCAGAGTTGAATGCGGGTAACATAAGCATAGAGATAGTAATTTTTTACTCCATGCTAATGAATTGCCTTCCAGACCATCTGCGAGTTTAACCTCCCCCCGCAGCTGACGACTAATATTGGCCACTTAAGGAACAGAAGAAATAGCACAATGTGGTGCTGCTTACTCCAAAGTATCCTGTACAATTCATAAAGATATTTATGATATTGAAAGTCAAAGACTTTCCATAAAGATTTAGGATGATCATTCTCTTCTGTCCTAGTCTTATCTGTGCAACCTTTTTAAATTCCAATTAATACAGGTCTAAATGATCTGTTTTCTCCAGGAGTTTCTAAATACTGCTTTCTCCCCTGTCATTTTAAAAGGGCAAGCTTGGACCCTAGACACATATTTAAAATAAGTGTAATATAAATGCATATGCATGCCATGAAAAAGAGGGAGATACTTAAACATTTATAATTTTCCCCCCTTTAGGAATGAGAGGGCTCGCTGGATTACTGCACTTGGACAAAGCAATGATAGAAGAAGCAAGGACAGGACAAGTAAGGAAGGAATGAGAAAATGATAAACTTATTTGGGATTGTAAAGTGAGCTTCAGTAACCATTGATAAAAAATTAAGCTTAACTGATGTTTTCCCCCGGGCCCATATTTATCTTTCTACTTTGAATAATAAGTAGACAGTACAGACTTTTTTATGTATCTAAATTTCCTTTTATTTTTATTTTTATTTAGTTCTCATGAGAGATTGAATAAGATTTAACATTTCTAGGATGCCCCCTACTGGTCTATAGCTTTGGATGTAATTGATAGTTAAAAATGATTTACCTGAAAGTTTTTGATCTTGTTTCTTTCTGTATGCTGTCTTGAATCTCCTGGATTTGCAGGGGGGGGGGGGGGGATCAGGAATTTTCCATTTGAAGAGAGTTTGGAAACTGCATGCCGAGAAACTTAAGTCATACTGAATATGCTTATAATTGCTTCACCTTTAAAGTGAATTCTTGAGCTTTTGAAATTCACCATTTGAATCAATAAATACTATTTTTCCCCTCAGCATTGACTCAGGTAGAAGTTATCAGGTCATACACTGCCAAGCAACCTGATGAATTATCCCTCCAGGCTGCTGATGTAGTTCTTGTTGATCAAAAAGTCCAAGATGGTAAGTAAAGGGCTTTTCCAGTTTTTTTAGTGGCTGTAAAACCCTTTTAAATGCAAAACTCTTTAGCATCTGTGCTATACTTTACTCTCTACAATTACTCTTTATAGAGTTGGGATATCTTCTTTGAGATTTAATATGTAAGAACCAGTTTTACCTGTTTAAAATATTACGCTATGATGATTGAGGTTCATGTTTCATTCTGGTTTTGTCTCCAGTACAAGTAAAATGTGGATTATCTCAACATAAGTACCTTCTTTGGGCATTTTTTCCAAGTGTGCGGGAAAACCATAGATGGAATATATGAATTTATATTTGATCATATAAATTTGATCAAATAGAAATATTAAATTTGAAAACATCTTTCTGAAGAGCTTCCTGAAAGTCATTTTTGTAAGCAAAATGAGTATTAACAAAATACCACACTTTATATTTTATTTATGCTTTTAGTAAAATCTGCAGTACTTTCTATAAAAATGTCACAAAAGTACCTGACCCTGTATTTTTACCTAACTAGGCTTGGTGGGATGTTCAGAAAAGTCACTTGACCAAAAGCGGCAGAAATATATTGGATGTTTCTAAGTAACCATAAAAAAAGGAATGCAAAGTATACTAAAAGTTTAATGATTAATCTTAACAAACGTTAAGCTTTGCAAATTTAAATTAATGCTTACTTTAATTGATGATACATGAAAGAAAATAAATGTTCTTTCCATCCAATCCGTTTGGGACCCAGAGTATTTGGAATGTGTGCTTTTTGTAACATTATAGGTATTCATATTTAGAAATATGAATAGCACTTTTCTGTGATTCACAACTGTTAGTTAATGGTTATCCCTTAGAAATCAGTCAAAATAATACAGATAGTACTTGCTTAATGTCTGTTTGTTCAGTGAGCATTTCAAGTTATGATAGAGCTGAGCAAAGGGATTTAAAATTAGTCCTCAAAGTTCTGGCCATTGCAATATTTCTGTGCTCACATGATCAAAATGAGTGCTCCTGAGGTTCACCCACATTTATTTTTTTATTAAATTTATATGCAGTCCATGTCACTGTTAAGTAATTCTAGGTGGCTCACAATAGCATAAAACAACCATATTAAATAATTAAAATGTTAAAAACATTGAACATGTTTACAACTACTTTTGGGGCATCCATCTGCCCCACGACTGCCAGCTGCCCCCAACACCCTGCTCTGCCCATCACTGCTGCCCTTATCACTATTTTTTTGCTTAGCACTGCCTTTTATGCCACACTCTTTTGTACTTGTTCAAGAATTGTCTTAAACGTAATTGTCCTATTTAAAAAACACTGGTAGGGCATTTATCAATGCTTACCTGGTTTCATTCTGTACAAGCTGATGGTTCCTAACCAGTTTGATGTGAGTGGCTAGACTCCTCAAGAACATGCAGCAAACTCCTTGTCCCAATAAAAACCCATTTTATTAATTTACTGTGAATTCTGTTGATTCACATCCAAAAAAGTCTTTGGAGGGAGGATTTATAGTCACAGACCTTATCTGGCTTGGAGAGCTGACAGGTCAATATCTGCAAAACTTGTGAAGGAGTCTCTGAAAGTCATGAATCAATTAAGTGAACTAATTGTCTCCTGAAAACTCCAGTCCCCTTTCACTCCTTCACTCTGGGAGGGGCCATTTGTTGTCCATCTATGTCCTTACTCCCAAGTTGACCCCTATTCTTTAGTTGTTCCCTTCATCTGGCAACTCTGCACATGCACACACTGGGAACAGGCTCCAGCTGTTCATCTTCCGTCACTGATGAGAATCCTCATTAGAGCCTTCCCCAGACTCCAGGACTGGCCCATGTTCCTTCCCAACCTCCTCACTGTCCGAATCTGCTGCCAGCTCTGCTGGTGGGCCATAACAATGAGGCAAAATATAGTCTTTGGAACTTTAACTTCATTAAATTATGTCCAGAGGCCAAAGAAGTTTCCCTCCTACTAATTGGCCAAGTGTTCCATCTCTCAGGCTGGGGGGTCAAACAGTACGCCCCTCAGACAGG